TGAATGAATTCCTTGTTTTGCTTTGCTTGTGTGCGCGGCTTTTGCTTTACCTATTAAACTAAAAGCCTTTGTTAGAATGTAAAACCCACGGGTATGCCAATATAGTGCTTATCCAAAAGCTCTTAGGCATAAATTAAAACCTGGAAAATTAAATAAATTCAATTCTGGAAAAGCATGGCCCTTGTGTTTTTCCCCTTGATCCAGCCTTCTAATACAAATCTCCAAATCTTCAATGATACTTACTCAGGCAAGTTAGAGGTAAAAAATAATTTAATATACATCCAAAGTGTTTTTCTGATGTGCCTACAAATATATGACAACTACCTGAGAAAAAATTACTTACATGATTTACAAGCATATCTGAAATGAGTCATTTCTCCATTTCAACGAGTATGGCTTTGTGTAACCAAGACTCCATTTCAATAATATAAAAATATATTGAATAAAAAATTGAATATTTAGTGGACACTCTTTACACATATGAAATCTGAATGCTTTGCTTTCAGCAATTAAAGATGTTACTTGTTATTTCCTATATTTAGTTGAGCTATCAGTCACTAAAAATGTTTTGTTTGCTTTTTCCTTTTGTTTTTTTACTGGGATGAGTATTGTTATTATTATCCTGTGTACAATTGCCAGCCAAATTACTTCAGTGAGTGCCTCTTACACCTTAAGAGAGGTAAGTACATTGCTTAAGTCCATGATTTTTCCTTTTCAAGCTCTTTTATTTCTCTTATATAGATACAGAAGTGAAAATTCTCCTCAGTCAAAAAGTAGTTTTAAAAAAAAAAGTCTGCATTGTTTCTGTCATGGAAACTTTTTCCTGTTCTGCAAGGCAAATGTTCTTGGATAATATTGATTTCCCACAACTACAAAAAGGGTATTTTCTTCCTGCAGGCAGATGGAACTGCAATGTATGCATCAGGGCACACTCTGCATGTTCTATGCATTACTCAGTATATGTTCTCGGTGTATTTCAGCTCTTAGCTACATGTTCCATCTTTAGAACTAAAATTGCTTAACGAGAACGTTTGTTGGCTGGTCACAAAGCTCTGAAGCTTAACACAAGGCCATCAATTCAGTAGTAGTGTATCCACTCACAAGATGGATGCAAGAATGAAAGCTACCAAAATTTTGGCATGGGGGATACCAAACAAGAAAAGAGAGAATAATGGGTGAGCTCAGCTCCTTTGGTTGCAGGGCATCAAAGCCTGTCCCCATGGGATCCTGTGATAGCCCTTCTGCTCTTGAGTCCATTTTGCACGTCCTCCTTTTGCCCTTCGTTTTCATAATATGAGAAATTTTCTGAGAGAGACATTGCTCTCAGAGGTCCCATTCTTTCAGCTATGTCCACAAGAAGCTGTCTGGAGTCAGTCATTCTGCCCATGTTACTGGTTGATGTTCTGGACACGAAAAAACAGGACAGTGCAATTGTTCAAATACCTATAAATAAAGTTATAATGCTTTAATAACAGACATTGCCTGCGGATCCACTCTCTTTAGGGACCTTACCATGAGAATCCTTGCCCATTTGGACTATTTTTTAGCACTTCCCAGTATAATCAAAAACGAAAATAAAATTATTTAGTGTTTACTAAGGGAGGTTGTTCCATAGCTCTCTAAAAAAAAGATATTTTTTGTCTTTTTAGACTGTATTTGGAAGTATAATACTTGGAATTATTTTAGATTAAATCTTTTAAGCGTTATTCTTTCACTGGCTTACATTCTGCCTGAGCATTTTGAACTGACAGGTTGCCTCATGCCTTAGTTCCCACGACACAATGACTATAATGCAAGTTGGAGGAATAACTGCATTTGCAACCCTGTTACTGTTTTTATTTGCTCTGAAGACAAAAGTAAGTACTATTAATGGATTATGTAATAACAAATAATCTAAGCTGTCACGATTTTAGTGACAGCTTTGTATCTCTTTTATCAAGTCACTCAATTTCTACTAGTTCTATTTGCATCTCCAGAACTAGCAATGCTCACAGTAAAAAAAAAAAAATCAAATTGAGCGGTCTGTGCTGGAAACTGTTAAACCTGATCCCGCTCTCCCACAAACCTCTGTCCCAGCTCCATTCTTCTGTCCACAGGTTTGCTACACTAAGGGCAAGAGAAGCCAAAACATATAAGTGGAATGCATTGTATTTCAAAATGGGTTTTTCTCATGAACATATTACCATGTATCTGTTCCTTTCTTAGAGCCTCTCTTGCAAACACTGATGAGTATCAATAGGAAGGTAGCAGCAGCTGGAAGTCAGTTTAAGAAGTTAACAAAAACAGAATTAGAACTCAATTAAGTATGTTTTACGGAATTATTCAGCTTATTAACAGACCAGGAAAAGGAGCAAAACCTTAAGTCAGCTGCAATAATTTCAGGATTTATCTTTATGCATGTCACTGACGTTAGTTTATTAATCACCATCCCTAACAACAATTTCTGGGGGTTCAAAATGTGTTGGCCAACTGCAGCTAAAGAGTTTCACTGTGCTTGGTGTCCTCAGGAAACCCTGACAAGCATGACCACATCAAACACCTCAAGCATTCTGCTCATCATTGGGGCAATTGTCTGTATCCTTATAAATTCATATGTAAGTGGTTTACTTGATGTGCACTTACTAGATATACTGACATGAGTTAGCCTGTACTGTACAGCACCTGTAATCACTCGATCTGCCAGGGGTAATATCAGTAGCTTTGTATCACACTGCAGCAAACAAAATAAAAATGTTTAAATGCAGAGCTCTTTTTCTATGTGATTTTCTCCTATTTCATTCCCTAATGAATGGCAAGACCAGACAGCTAAAAAGGTGTTTAAAGTTCCTGTGGGTTGTCTCGTAAGAAAAACTAGTAAGTCTTGCATCTTCCCAAACCAAATAATCTTCTATCACAGTTAGGTAAGTAACAGAACTGAAGTGGATTCACATTTGTTTTAGATTACCTACTACATCATTTGATAGTTCTGTTTTTATTGTGCAGTTCTTTTTGCGTTTTTTTTTTTTAATCTAATCAGAATACACCTTTCTTAAATTTAGTGCTGCTGGTGATTCAAATGCAGCGAGGGATGACATTTTTATTCGATTCTGGCTTTCTTTCCACAGTGGCAATGCTCACAGTTCTTTGCTTTTTCTTACAGAAGTCCCAGGTTACATATCCTTTACCTGGAGCTCTGCTCTTTGCTACTGTAAGTAGAACACTTATACGGCATACTATCTTTCATAGGAGTAAGACATTATCTTGCTCCAAACTCTTTTCTTTTGCTTAAACTTTCAAACTACGTGCCTAGTGCAAGCCTGCTGTCAGTTCCCTCTCTCGGTATGACCTGCTGTTTGACACAGGAAGGTGCCGAGACCTGCATATCAGCAGGTCATTCTGTGAAACAAACTTCAAATCATAAACCATACATTGGTATTTCTCTAAATTGCCCCTTTTATACTACAATTTATTGACAAATGAGGCAAATGGCAAGCAAGTACTTTTCGTTTGGTGTAAATTGTAGAAACTCAAAAAAGCAAAACTGAATGTAAGCACTGTTTTCTTCCCTCTTCCTACAAGGATTTGACAAAGAAAGCAGCTGAGCTCGAAAGTCAGCCCACAGAAGAGCAAAGCTCCATGGATTATGCTGAGACAGCACAGGAACTTTACAGTGATCCCAGGTGAAAACCTTGTGGACCACAGAGTAAGGAGGGAAAACATTTGAGTGGAAGGAGTCACTCTGGTTACTGTAAATATCTTTTAAGAGTCGTTATTTTTACTTTCTTATGGTTGCTAATTTAATAAAGATAAATCAGCAAAAAAGAAATCTAGTGGAAGTGAAAGGAGAGAAAGGAGAGGAAGGTCAGGAGCGAGGTCACCTTGGGATTAATTACTGCAACACACTGAACATGGGCACACATCTCACGTATGTAGCAACTGAAGTTACTTAAGATTTAACTCTAGCAGTATACTGCTAATTTCCGAGCATTTTGAACTATTGACAGTATCCCTTAAATTTAGCACCTACTCCGTTAAGGTTGACTATTCTTCCTTTTATTTGAAGAGGGCAGAACTGAGGTGGCAGACTGAAACAAATATATCTGGTTCCTGCTCTCACGGGTCCCACTGTATTAAAAGTTGTCAATACTTGAGACTTTCAAAATATATTTCATCTTAAATCAAAGTTTTTCATGAAGTTAAAACATAAGCCTAGTGCAACTTTCGTGGGCTTTCATACAGTATACTAACGTTGATTTGGGGCTTCTGGGTGCTATGGTCACATATGTCCAAAAAAAAAAAAAAAAATGCTGAAAAGATCTGTAAATGTAAATTTAAGGCCACTTACAGCTCTTATCCTTCATAGGCGGCAGGAACCACTAACCCCAGGGAATTCAGGCCATACAAGCACATCTCAGCGTTTGGAGTTGACCGGCTTGTAAAAAGTTTAGCGCAGAAAACTTTAACATTGGTATTTTAGTATGTGGCATTTTTCCCATTCTGCTATTTAAATATTTTCATTGGTATACTGAGACTGTCAATATATAAAATTGGTCTTTATGTCCCTTAGCTAACATTTTTTTCATTTGAATTGCTTGAGGATTTTTTTCTTACCATCATTAGTTGCAAAGACTTAAAAACCAATTTAAAACAAATTTTAAGAGACCAAGCTAACACACACCCAAATAGTAACAATGTGAAACTCAAACCATAGGTCAGTGTTGGCTTGCTCAGGAAATGAAGATACATTTCTGCCATAAGGATGCCAGGATGGCAAAGCCAAGTAACATTAATTTTTAAATCTGTATCCAGCTTTCCAAGAAGTTTAACCCTTATATAAGCAAAGCTTAGCAGGAAGCTACATACATAGGCCCACATTTTAGATTCAGCTGAACAAAATTCCCTTAAAAGGTGACTGTTAAATAGAGTACCGCTTTGCGGATGATAGATTTCTCTTCAGACTAAAACCTAAGTAGATCACTCCTGTCCAGAGTAACAGAAAACTGTTAACTGCATCACTGACCAAGTTTAGTGTTTATTTGAAGGTAGGCTTAAATTATTTATGAAGCAAACAAAAACTGCAGTCACAGTTAACTAAATTAAACAAGTATATAAAGAGCTGGATGATTAAGAGTACATCTTTTAACTCCTTTTCTGGAAAATAAGTTAGAAAATAAGAACACTAAAGGCAGCTTTCAGAAGTCAATTATTTGCTCACCAAAGTCGAAGATGGCACGTAACTTGTGGTTTTGTCCCAAAATGAGCAATAATGTCTGAAGAACAGAGCACAGAAATGACGCATCAAATGGAAAGAAAACTTCCACTTTAAGATCTGATATAATTTAAAATAAATAAATACCATAATCCATAAAGTAAAATGAACATTTTATAGTTTTTTTTAAACTTCTTGTATGGGGTTCACAGACCTGAGAATACACCCAAAATAACTTGTCCAAAGTATTCCTTTAAAAAATTATAAATTATTGGTAACAGTTTCTTTAATGGAGATTGCAGGAGTAGGTCCCACATGAGTCCATATATAGCCCTTCTCTGGTCTTGTAGGAACAGTAGGGAAGGGAGATGATCGAGATTTGAAATATTCCGAAGGTGCATGACAAACAAATTCTAAATATTCCATTTTCCTTGGGAGATCTTCTTCTGGTCCTAGAAAAAAAATAAACAATCTTCAAAGACAAAATTTAAAGGCATAAAATTGGAGTATGCAGGACTTAAAAATATGCAACAACAGCCAACATCCCTTAGAGAATGTGACTTTTCAATCAATGACTTTCCTGGCAAAGTAGCCTCAAATACTAGGCAAGAAACCTCTACCTTTATTTTTGCTGGGCTGATTTCTGCCCCCCCAACTCCCCCTTTGAAGCATTCAGTTATTTGAGTGAAGTATTTTAGTTAATATATTTTAAATAGATACTATTTGTGGCCTGCCTGTCAAAAGGACTTTTCTGAATTATTAATAATTTTATGATCAGTAGCAGAACACTCTCTATGCCAGCGCTTGCACGCTATGTATTTTAAGTACCCAAGATGAAGATCAGCTAATTCAGGTCACTTTAAAAGAAACAGCTTGGACTGGTATATCAGATTTATACTGTAATAACTTTGATTCTATCTATGGAATAATAATTTGATCTTTAAAGTTGCAAGACTATAACTGTGCCCATGAGTACAAGTACTCAGATAATCGCACTCACTGCGGTAGTGCTAATCATATTATATACATAAGATAAATACAAAAGGTTATTGAAGTAAACGAGATGCTTACAGGATTAGGGTCTAAAATGTGGAAATTGCATAAATTATCTTGACAAACTAAAAAGTTCATTTAAAAAAATACAACTCTGCATCAGTCTAGGCTCATATATGTAGTTGTATAAAACGAAGTCTTAAAGATTACCTATGATATAGGATGCTGGGTCAAAACAATCTTTGGGGCTGGCTTGCGTAGGAATGAGCCAGGTTAGTGCAGCACTCTTTTCACAGTATTGGTCCTGAATAAACCCACGGATCTGAGCGTAGTATGTTTTTCCATCCTGCTCATCAACCACTGAAACAACATCTCCAATTTGATAGTATACACCCTAGAAGACATACAAATGATAATTACATCAAACAATCTGATTTTAGAAGCTTCACTCTGTGATTCTGATTCATATCTTAAGTATCAGTATCTTAAATTATCCCAAATTACCCCAATCTTGAAAGACAGCCTTAATTCAGCCACACGCAAAAGAACGGTGGTGTAAGATAGAGTACTGTCTCACCTAAGCAGTCATCAGCACTGCTTGTGCACAATCACCACATGTCTAGGAGTCTGAGGCTACGCGCCTCCTCTCTGCAGAGCGGAGATGGTCTCATTCTGTCAGAAGTAGGAGAGTGCAACACCACCTTCTAGAAAAAGTAACTGTAGTAATTTCCCTGTGTGTGCAGGGAAAGCAGCTTTCTGTGTATGAAGAAGTTCACTCAGCTGAATGCAAAGGAGTCCCAAACCACAGATCCACCTCCTGCCACCTTCCAGGTTGCTCTGTAATGTGTGAGGCTGCGCAGCAAAGGCAACTCACTTCATGTTATAACAGCGTCGCACAGCACAATGCAGTGCCTGCACTATCAGTATGAGAGTTTGCCAAGCATCATCCAGGAGGGTTTTGTTTTTAAAACAGGTTTAAAAGACCTCAAAACCCCCAAACAATCCCCTTCTCAACAACACAGTAAAGTATCAAAATAGAAATATTTTGCATAAAGAGATCAGGTTAAATAAAACTTTTGACATAATTCTTAGGAATTTCTGAAAAAAAAACCAAAAACACGCAAGAAAAGACATCAATTCTCTTCTGAACTAGTCAACAGCAAAAAGAGTCATCTGGGATGCAAGACACGAAGGTCTCTAGAGAGCATACGGAAGCTCAGTCTACCACTTCTCCTCTGGCTGTGCAGTCTCCCAGTGGCTATCCTGACCTTTTCTTTGGGGGAAAAGACATTTCAAATGGTTTGTTTGTATTACCGGGAAACAAAAGCAAATTTCAGAACTAAAACTAAACAAAACTAGAAAACACTAACACCTTGGCATGCTGGTAAAAATGCTCTCACACATGAATGTGAGAAGGCTAGCTTCTGCTTTCATTGCAATAGTCAACAGATCTTGTTCCCAAGGTGTTCGAGACTGCTTGCACCCAGCACTGAAACGGGAGCCAGTTTAGATGTTAGGGCAGCGCAACCCATCCCCTCTACAGGCAGTAATACTCTCTGTGCCTAAGGTAGGAAACCACACAAATTTAAATAATCATCTATAGTCACTTTTGCTTGACCTCTGCAAGGTGAAAGTTAAAAGTTTAAAAACCTCAACTGCAATAATTACTAAGGAAACCAGATGCATCTTTTTCTTGGAAGAAAAAAATGGGACAATGACAACTATGTAAACTATCTTGCAAGACTTAATGGCAATGACATAATGCCATAAGGCAGAGCAAAATCCTGCCCAAGTGCTAGGCAAGAAAGAACAGTTTCTGTGAATACATCCCTAGTGCTTTCACCGTCTGCGGTAATTTTTGAGATTGGAAATAGAAACAGCAAGACCTTTTTTGCAAACAAACTTGCATAAACCATACCTTATAAAAGATTGATTCTGCCGTAATTATAGTGGATACAGACTCAGGAGCCTTGATGGGCTAAGAAAAGAACACAGAAATGGAAAATCAAAAGCATTAAAACAAACCAACCATGTAATATAATTCCAGGTTGTTTTTTTTTTCCTTTTAGACAACATACTGATACATTATCTTCTTAGAAAATTACTAAACACCAGAAATCGGGTACAAACATTTCAAACATTTGTACTTTAAATTGAAAACAGTAAGTTAACATTTTCATTCTCAGGATTTTAAGTGGAAAGGTAAGTATTAAATTCACATGACTGGTTTCTATTTACACAAAACTCCTTCCCTCAGGAAATGAAGGACGGGCTGCTGTGCGGACCGGTGAATCACGCAGGCAGCCGTGCCCATACTACTGAGGAACAGACCGACTCTGACATTGATTACAACCACTTCCTACCCAGCTTTCAGTCTGATTTTGCGACAGGAGCTGCAAAACTCCGCGCTGGGGTCCAACGCGCCGGCAAGGTGAGCCCGGCGGGGGCCGGGCCGGCCGCGGCCCGTGGGCCCGCCGGCGTTTCTCGTTTCTTCAGGGGACGAGACAGGGCTCCAGGTCTGCCCCGCCCCGGCACAGGGCAGCCCGAGCCCGCCGGGGCCCTGCAGCCCGCCACTTCCCATCCCAGCCGCAAAAAGCCACACACCACCTTACGTTTTTTAACTTAAAGATGTGCCTCCTCCCCTTGCCCTTCGTGGAAACCTTCTTCTCCGCGGCGGGCGCTGACTTGTACTTGGTGTTCCTCAGCCGCGCAGACCGCCGGTGGATCTCCTGCTTACTCTAGGGGAGGGGGGGAATCGCCGAATAAATACACGGAAGGACGCTGCCCCGGGCGGGAGGGGTACGGCAAGCCCATCCCTGCCCGCCCCGTCGAGACCCGGTCTGGGCGAGGC